AACCTTCCTTCCGAGGAGTGGCTGGTGGGTTTGAACCGCCAGCCGTCTGGTTAGCAGGCAAGTGTCTTAGCCACTATGCTACCAGAGCTACATAGGAATAGAATTTCATCATAGGTGGATGCATGTTTATTTTATTACAGATACTACCTCTTGATAATGGCCCTCCTAATAAAAGGGCTACTTTGAAGGGTCCCATTCTTTTGTTAGTAGATTTTTCTAAAACTTATTCACTAGCTGTTGAATGGCATCACTTTGTTGTAAGGGAAGAAAATCACATTATGGGCTCTGGTTCTCCCTGCAAATTTGTGGATGTTCTGTCTCAGTAGTTTTCCTGCCAGTCCTGGGCCCTGGGCTTTTCAAACCCAAGGTCTTTCCTCGGGACCTGTTCAACTGAGGTTCTCTTAACATGCATATCATTAATACTTTTTAGTGTTCAAACTAGCAGACCTCTTCATGCTGACTGTAATGTAAGATTTGCTTACTGACCAGATAAGCTTTTAATTGTTAAGCAAGAGATTTATACATTTATTCATAATTATCTTTTTGTTTTTAGCTGTTTGTTTTACTCAGTGCCATGGGATGCTCGGGTACTTTCTGGATAATTAAGACCAGAGGTTCATGTGCAGTCTGCCCACTGACGTTACCAGCAGGCTGATGGCTGGTTTCTGGTGTTATCTGAGCACTCAGCAGAGCTGAGGGTGCATGTGGGCCTCCAGTTTGGGCTCTGGAGTCTTGATGGGTTGTTTCTTTCTAGGTCCTGTTTTGCTGCGTTCCTATTGTCTCTACGTCCTCCTGCTTGCCATCAATGGAGTGACCGAGTGTTTCTCATTTGCTGCCATGAGCAAAGAGGAGGTTGACAGGTATGTAACCTTTAATCATGGACTTCAGACAAAATGAAGCAACTTGCCAATCTTTTTTCTATCCATTCTGAATATGCTTCTGCACATGGCTCTTTCAGAGGTAAACTTTAGACCCCTAGCATGGTGCCTTCCCCTGGAATCTCTACTGCACAAGCACAGTTTACTTCATGGCCCTCTACGGTGGAGATGGAAGGCAGCAGCTACTCTTATCTTTACTTTGTGGAGGGAGAAGTATCACCTGAAGGGTGGCAGAGTCATTCACTAGACAAGCTAGACTTCTGTTCCTCCAGCTTCTTGTCCATTGCACCTTAAGAGTAGTCCTGACACATCTGTAGATCCTTGAGACTCTCAGGGCTTCTGTGACCCCTCTCCTCAGAGAAAGGCCAAAATGCATATACACTTTTTGCCACCTTTTTTTCCCCCATCCATTGACTGACCCTGCCTATGGGTAGAAATCCCTCATGGAACTTGTTAGAAATGATTCCTAACCTCCCTACCAACACTACTCTCTCTCTCACCACTTCTATGGAATCAGCAGGGACTCCTGCATACATGTATATGCTTTAAAAGCTCCTCAGTGATTCTGATGTGAACTCCTGGCTACGAGCCTGTGTCTCACACCTAGGATCATCCCACACTTAGTTGTAGGACAGAGGTTTCTTGTGTTTCAAATGCCATAAAACAGCCAGACAGTATCTTAGGGTATCACTGTAGGATGAGGTTAAGGAAAAGGATAGAACTGATAGGGGAAAAGATGAGAGAGGAAGACAGAGAAGAGATAGAGTGGATGTGGATGATGAGTGAGTAGCCCATTATTCTGCTGCTCTTTGAGCCCTGGATCCCTTGGTGGTTTTCATACTGTTCTATAAAGCCTGGAGGAGCTCTGGTGGTATAGTAATTAACATACTCATTGCTAATCAGAAGGTCAGCGGTTTGAAACCACCAGCCACTCTGTAGGAGAAAGATGTGACAGTCTGCTTCCATAAAGATTTACAGCCTTGGAAATCCTATGGGGGCAGTTCTACACTGTCCTTTAGGGTCACTGTGAGTTGGAATTGACTCAATGGCAGTGGGTTCAATAACGCCGTGAGTGCTGTTGAGCACACTTAGAGGCCCAGTGGTGGAATGAGACAGGAAAAGGTAGCTCAAAGAGTTAGAGAGCCCTTCCTCTTACTCAAAGCAGCCTCTGTTGGCTTCCCATCTGGAACTGGGTCACTTAGAAACTTGGTAACTTTGTTTGCTACACAGTGGTTGAGAACTTGAGTCTCACACCCCAGTGTTCACACCCCAGACTGATCAGATTTCCCTAGAAAGTTCCTCCCAGACTGAGCTAGAATTTTAGGGGCTTAGGCCAGGGAATCTGCTTTATTACACAGCTCCTGGGAATTCTGATGGACTTTGGATCATTGACCCAAACCATCTTTCATGGCAAAAAATACATTGAGCTCTGTGACCCATTACACTCTTAGGTGTATGTCACTGAAACAAGAAAAGATTTAATAAGGCAGTGATTATCCAGTTATGTGCAGAGTAAACTGATGATTTTTATTCTGTTCTACTTCATTTTTCAAAATGATTCACTAGATTGATTTCCTAACCTACTTGTAGGTTGTAACCCATAGTTTTAAAATAATAGTCAGGATGATTTTTTTACTTCCAATAGTTAAATTTATAGCTATAGAATTTAAATCCATCCTTTTTTTTTATGGATGAAAAGATCTGTTTAATTTAGGGTGAGAAAAAAAATATATATATATATATATGTATTTTAAATTGTGTCTAACATTGAATGATTTTTTTGCAATGTAAAACTTACTAAGTGAAATACTGTGGCATAATGGAAAGAGCCCAGGACTGGGAATCTAGCTTTTTTAAATAAATTTTATTACAATAACTTCAGCATTAGCATTGAGGGAGAATGTCAACACTAAAGCCATTTAAAATGTTTTAAAATATATATTTTACAACCAAATCACAAAAGAGTATAGACAGTGGTTAGTTGCTTTCTTTCCTCTTCTAGACATTGAACCAAAGGAAACAACCTTTTAAGTCAGTTGTAATGGAATTTTGACAGTATATAAACATCTGGAAAATTATTTTCAGGATATTAGTCAACATAGAGAAAAGACAGAGCATCTTTTAATGCAGTTCTCATCCAGGGTAATCACTTCCCCTAAGATTAAAACATGACTTTAAGCATGGTCTTCAGACCTGTACTGAACATACCAACCCTAGTTCTGTCTGGGCCCTGAGCTCCTGGCCCTGCTCAGAGCACATGAAGTTCATGAGCTAATCACAGACCATGGTGTTATTTCATCCCTATGAATTTAACCAGGCATAATTCTAGTAAGGGTTGTTATTGTAGAATTGAGTAGCTTAGTTAAATGTTATGAATGATAAAGATGATTTCACATTAGATATTTTAGATTCTGAATTAAAAATAAAACATTGATAAAAAATATGGACTTTAACTAAATCAAATTATGGTTAACCAGTGTTTTTCTAAATAAAAATAGGGATTTGGTTAGATATGAGATATTAGGACTTCCTTTGAATTGCAAGCTGTTTCTTTTTTTAATAACCTCATATTCAATATATTTAGAATATGATTGGTGGACTTTTCATTATGCTCTGCTGAAGAATTTTTGTTCTGTTTTGTTAAGGACATCTCATTTTCTTTTGTTCACTCAACAAATATTTTTTGAGCATCTACTCTAACAGGCATTGTTTTAAGCTCTGGGAATACAGCAGTGAGCAAGACAGAAGAGATCCCTGCTGTTCTGGAGCTGATATTCTAGTGGGGGGAGCAGATAGTAAGCAAATAAATAAATAAATAAGAAATTGATGTAAGGTGCAGAAAATTGAAACAGGGCTATGTGGTGAGAGTGAGGCCCTTTTAACTTAGGTAATCTGGGCAGGCTCCTCTGAGGAGATGGCTTTTAAGCTGAGGCCTGGATGACCAAGAAGAGTCCACCATGAAAAGATGGGGACAGCTTTTTCGTCTGATTTGTTGGCTATTGAGTACTCAACCTGGAGTTGAATACTCCTTAACTGTTGACTGATGGATCAGTGTCATCTACTCACATTGGCACACAAAAAATCAGTGCCGTCCCTTTCAGGGCTGCAGAGGCTACCCTGTGTGACTGCCCTTATGTATTTAATCAGCATCCACCATGTGATGCTTGAGTTGTTGCAGTGGTAGACCTTCTTGACCATCCATCTTCTGATAAGCCTGATTTTAAGTTCAGTATCTTCTTGAAGGATGGAGAAATAAGCATTCATAAATAATTTACTATTGATGTTAACCAAGCCTTATGGAATAGTCATTATTGTCACTGATTAATCATTATTCATTGATTGAGAAAGTGATATTTTAATTGCCTCTCTCAAATTCCCATTTTTTCCTGAAGTGGATTATGTCTAAGATTTTGGAAAGTTCTGGGAAGTTCAGCAGCTGCAGAGCCCTCTTGTGGGTGGACATGGCTTCAGATGTTTATGACGCTAAATGAAAAGAGTGGCATCACAGTAAAACCAACCAAAATAAAAAGGGTAATATCAGGATACTATGAAGAACTATGCTCCAACAAATTTGAAAACCTAGAAAAAATGGATAGATTTCTAAAAACACACTATCTACCTAGACTAACACAGACTGAGATAGAAATTTTGAACAGACCCATAACAAAAGAAGAAACTGAACAGGTCATAAAAAAACCTACGAACAATAAAAAAAATCCTGACCCAGATGGCTTCCGAGCAAATTTTATCAGACATTCAGAGAAGAGCTGACACCAGGTCTACTCAAACTATTCTAGAATATAGAAAACGGTGGAGTACTTCCAAATTCATTTTATGATGCAAGCATAACTCTGATACCAAAGCTAGGCATAGACATCACTAAAAAAGAAAATTATACACCAATATCCCTCATGAACATAGATGAAAAAAAACTCAGTTGTCGAGTCAGATCCAACTCATAGCAACCCCTCCTTGGGTTTCCAAGGCTGTATATCACTAAGGAAGTAGATTGTCCAAACTTCCTTCCAAGGAGTGGCTGGTGGGTTGGAACCACCAGTCTTCTGGTTAGTAGTCAAATGGCTTAGGCACTTCACCACCAGAGCTGCAAAAGTTCTCAACAAAATCCTCACTGATAGACTCAAACAGCATATCAGAAAAATAATACATCATGACCAAGTGGGATTCATACCAGGTATACAAGGATGGTTCAGCATTAGAAAAACAATCAATATAATACACCACATAAAGAAAAGGACCATGTGATCATATCAATCAATGCAGAAAGGCATTTAGCAAAATCCAGCACCCATTTCTTATAAAAACATTAAACAAAATAGAACAGAAATTCCTCAGAATAGTTAAGGACATATATACAAAACCAACAGCCAACATTATTTCAATGGAGAAAGGCTGAAAGCATTCCCCTTATAAATGGGTACCAGACAAGGATGCCATTTATCACCACTCCTATTCAATATTGTATTGGAAGTCCTAGCCAGAGCAATAAGACAAGAAAGAGAAATAAAAGGCATCCAAATTGGGAGAGAAGAAGTAAAACTATCTCTATTTGCAGATGACATCATGCTCTATGTGTTGTTGTTGTTGTTGTTGTTATATGCCATCTAGTCGGCCCCGACTCATAGCAACCCCTCCTTGGGTTGCCAAGGCAGTATCACTACAGAAGTAGATTGCCCAACCTTCCTTCCAGGAAGTGGCTGGTGGGTTTGAACCGCCAGCCTTCTGGTTAGCAGTCAAGTGCCTTAGGCACTATGCTACCAGAGCTCCTTCATGCTCTACGTAGAGAAGCCCAAAGACTCCACAAGAAAATTACTGAAGCTAACTAAAAGCTTCAGCAAAGAGGCAGGGTGCAAGATCAACATACAAAAATCAGTTGAATTTCTTTACACTACCAAAGAAAACTCTGAAAAGGAAAACTATACCATTTACAATAACCTCCCAAAAGATGAAGTGCTTAGGAATAAATCTAACCAGAAACACAAAAGACCTATGCAAAAAAAAAAAAAAAAACTACAAAACACTACTACAAGAAACCAAAAGAGACCTACATAAATGGAAGAATGTACCATGCTCATGGATAGGAAAATTTAACATCATGAAAATGTCAACGCTATCCAAAATGATCTATAGATATAATGCAATTCCAATTCAGATTCCATCATCATTTTTTACTAAGATCGAAAAACTGATCACCAACTTTGTATGGAAAGGAAAGAGACCCTGGATAAGTGAAGCACTACTAAAGGAGAAGAACAAAGTAGGTCTCATACTCCCCAGTCTTAAACTTACTACACAGCCATGGTAGTTAAAACCACCTGGTACTATACAACGACAGACACATAGACCAATGGGACAGAATTGAGAACCCAGAAATAAATCCATCCTACCTGTGGTCAGCTGATCTTTGACAAAGGGCTGAAACTCAGTAAATGGTGGAAGAGATAGTCTTTTTATAAATGGTACTGACAAAGCTAGATATCTATTTGCAGAAAAATGAAACAGGACACGTATCTTACACCACATGCTAAAATGAAATCAAGTTGGATCAAAGACCTGAACATAAAACCTAAAACTGTAAAATTCATCACAGAAAAAATAGGGACAAATTTAGGGGCCCCAATTCAGGACATAAAAATATACTATCAAATATAACTAAAACTGTACAAACACCAGAAGACAAAATAGATGATTGGGACCTCCTAAAAATTAGACACTTATGTGTATCAGAAGATTTCACCAAAAGAGTGAAAAGAGAACCCACAGACTGGGAAAAAAATTTGGGCCACAACATATCAGACAAGGGGCTAATCTCTAAAATGTATAGAAAACTTCAACAGTCTAACAACAAAAAGACAAATAATCCAATTTAAAAGTGGGCAGAGGACATGAATAGACACTTCAACAAAGAAGACATTGAGGCATCTAACAAACATATGAAGGAATTCTTGCAATCATTATCCATTGTTGTTGTTGTTGTTATGTGCCGTCGAGTCAGCCCGGACTCATAGCGACCCCTTCTTGGGTTTCCGAGGCAGTATCACTATGGAAGTAGGATTGCCCAACCTTCTTTCCGAGGAGTGGCTGGTGGGTTTGAACCGCCAGCCTTCTGGTTAGCAGTCAAGTGCTTTAGCCACTATGCTACCAGAGCTCCCCATTATCCATTAGAGAGATGTAAATCAAAACAACAATGAGATATAATCTATCTATTATCTATTATAATCTATTAGTGTCAGCACTAATAGCAAAGCTCATAAAAACAGAAAACAATAAATGCTGACAAGGGTGTGGAGACACTGGAATCCTCATACACTAGTAGGGGGCCTGTAAAATGGTGCAGACTTTGTGGGAAATGGTATGGCACTTCCTTAAAAAGCTGGAGATAGAAATATCATATAATCCAGCGATCCCACTACTAGGTGAGATATCTTAGAGAAATAAGAGCCATGGCATGAACAGATATAAATGTTCATGGCAGCACTATTCACAATAGCAAAAAAAAAAAAAAAGGAAACAACCCAAATGCTCATCAATGGATGAATCGTTAAACAAACTATGGTACATACACAATGGAATACTATGCAATGTTAAAAACAGTGATGAATCTCTGAAACACCTCATAATATGGATGAACCTGGAGGACATTATGCTGAATGAAATTGGTCAATTGCAAAAGGACAAATATTGTATAAGAGCACTATTGTAAAAAGTCAAGAAAAGTGTTTCACACAAAAATAAATATTCTTTGATGGTTATCAGGGATGGGAGGGAAATGGAAGGTAAACCACTAACTAGCGCATAGGCACACACACACACACACACATATACACACAAAAGAGTTTATGACTGGCTTAAACTCCAAAGACAGTGACATTTTCATGTTACCCATATTCTGTATTTTTAAGCATAGAACACCCACATAATAACATGTTCATACATATAACATGCATAGTATAGCACCTGAAGATAGGAAACTAATGTGCAGGGGTTGCATGATTTGCGAAAAACATGTAACGCTTGCATTATTTGCATAAAAATACAGTAAATTTCAATGCTATTAAAACTGACTGGTTTATGGGATTCTCTGAGGTTCTTTTCTGTGAATTCATGTTCACAGCCACTTACTTTTCTTTTTTTTTTTTTTTGTGGGAATGCTGTCTTGGGACCATGTACCCACTCTCCTGCCTTGCTTGTCTCCCTCTCCTCAGATACAATTTCACGATGCTGGCCCTGTCATCCTCTTTCCTGGTTTTCTCCTATCTGCTGACCCGTTGGTGTGGCAATGTGGGTTTCATCTTGGCCAACTGCTTTAACATGGGCATTCGGATCATGCAGAGCCTTTGCTTCATCCACCAGTACTACCGAGAGAGTCCCCACCGACCTCTGGCTGGCTTATACCTGTCGCCAGTCCTCCTTGGAGCATTTGCCCTCAGTGGTGGGCTTACTGGTGTTTCAGAGGTGAGACTCCCTGCATCCTTCACACCACATGCGTTTTCAAGCTGTCCACTATCCTTGCCTCTAAGGCTTCCCATTCCTGCTCTGCCTGAACCAACTGTTTGCCTCCCCTCTCCCTTCCCCTAAATCTCTGGGACAGCATCTTATGGTAGGCCTTAGGACAAAACAGTGTCAGCAGTAGGAACAAAGTAGGCTCTCAATATGCAATAATTATGTCTTTTATCTGAATGGGAAGCTGGAACTAGAGGGCCTCTGCCTTCCCTGACCTGCCCCAGGGAAAGGAGGTGTGGATGGAGGAGCCAGGCATAGCCAGAGACCGTAGCAATGACAATGTTTTCTTCCCTCAGGTGTTCCTCTGCTGTGAGCAGGGCTGGCCAGCCAGGTTGGCACACATTGCTGTTGGGGTCTTCTGTTTGGGAGTGACTCTTGGGACGGCATTCTTCACAGAGACCAAACTCATCCACTTTCTTAGGACTCAGTTAGGTGTGTTCAGACCCGCTGACAAAACAATGTGCTCGAAGATGCACTGATGCCTATGGTACCTGGACCAGTTGTGGGACAGTTTTGTGTGCAGAACATATTTTCTGCACAGAAGAACCCTGGTGAAGGGGCTGCAGTGGTGTGAGACCAACCCAGCCAGGTGAGGCATTGGAGGGAATCACTGGCTAAAAGCCTGTTGTCCATTTGAAGTCTTAAACACGAGTGAGGATTCTTATTTTTAAATTAAGAATGAAAGACCTTTTAAAAGAGATAAAATTATTATATTTTTAACCAGCATTTTTCTTTTCTATCGATGAATTAATTCCTTTTGAGTGTGATTAACCTTTGCAGCTGTCTGCTCCAACAAACTATCTTATATGCTAATAGTTAATAATCATCTGGCCAAGAAAAAAAGATGTGGCCATTTTACCCTTTGTGGAATATTTAATCTATTACTTAAAAGAAGGAAAGAGACATGATGCTCTTCACAGAACAAGAACAACGTCGTCCTGGAATTGTGGAATGCTCAGTGCTGTGGTCTGGGCTTTTGGAGTAGGAAAAATGTCACTTAGTAAGAAATCCAAGAAATGAAAAATGTGAAGTTTTTCAGATTGCATTTCCCAGAGTTAGCTCGGGAGAATCACGTCTATCATGTTCCCTGCTGTGTCCCCAGGCCAGCACAGTGCCTACCCAGAAGGGCCTCAGCATTTGTCAATTGAAGGGTGGGTGAAAGCTGATAGAAGACCCCTGGCCTGCCCACCCCATAGAGGGGAGTTTTAAAGGATATTGTCATCCAATATGAACTACTTTGTCCCCTGAAGGAAAGCTGCTTTGCAGTAACTATACCTTCTCCCATAGAAATTGCACAGATGACAACTAAAGTTGAATAAATGGGTCTTTTGTTTCCCCCCAGAATAAAATAAAAACCAAACTCACTGCCATTGAGTTGGATCTGACTCATAGCAACCCCTCCTTGGGTTTCCGAAGTGTTATCATTACAGAAGTAGATTGCCAAACCTACCTTCCAAGTAGTTAGTAGTCAAATGCTTTAGGCACTATGCCACCAGAGCTCCCCCAGAATAAAATAGGGTCAAATTCTATATGACAAGGATCACTGAATTAAGCACCTCTCACTGACCTCTTGCTTCCAGCATTGGTCAGTACAACTGAATTCCAGCCCTAGTACAAGCATGGCAGACCATGGTCTGGTCCTCCAGGGTGTGAGCCCAGGCTAAGCCTCACCTTCCTGCACCCTGCAGATGAGTTCAGTTGTCCCAGGGCAGTGAAGCATTTTTCTTTTTCATTAATGTATTAATTCCTTTCAGATGTGATTAACCTTTGGAACTACACGTGCAAACTGTATCTTGGATGTTAATAGTTAATAATCATTTGACCCAGATGTCCCCAAATGTTCCATGTTTATGCTTGGTCCAGTAAGGGTAACTTGATAACTTGTTCTGGGCAGTGGCTTATTAAAATGCACTCACTTAAATATCCAGTAGTCCAAAAGTTAAAATGAATAAGTAAAAATCCAGAGCCCAGGCTGAGGGAGCAGGGATCTAGACCCACCAAGACTGGACCCATCACCTTGACACGTTTTTATCAATTCATAGGGAGAATGCTTTGCACAAATTGGGAGGAAAATAGCTGAATATGACTACCACTGAGCAGCCCAAGGCCCTCCAGAAACATGCCACCTGTCATAGGACAGGGCCATGCTGCCAAGAAAACTGATTGTTTCATAAGTTAGGGTAGGTGGCACATGGAGGCAGCCCTCAGTCCCTCTTATGCCCTTACTGTTCCCTGCATACACAGAAATGAGCCTTCTGCCTTTATGTGCCCCTCTGCTGCTGTTGACCACTTCTCCCCCACCCCCCAAATCTGCCACCCACCCCATACCCACTTGACTCCAAACTCAAAGCATGATCCTCACTCTTCCTGCCTCAGAATCACCTGAATTACAACTTCCCAGGATCCACTCTAGACCTTTGGAGTCTGCATCTCTGCAGGCAGGGTTCTGGGATCAGCTTTTTTGGCAAGCCCATGTTGTTATAGGGGGAAGAAGCATCTGCCCTGGCCTTACCCTACTTATGGGAAGAATCTCCACAAGCAAGGGAGAGATCCTTGGGCAGGCAGTCCCAGGCAATCCTAGAGTAAGCAGTTGTGTTTGGGGATGGTGGATTGTCAAACTTAATAAAGCGCCAAGTACACAAGCCTTTATTGACTGTGTTTCCAGAGGGGAAACAGATCTCTCCCTACAAGTGGGGAGGGCCATAAAAAGCAAAAAGAGTAAAGATGGGTCTTTTTCCCCACGGAATGGGAAAAATCACCAAACTGCTTAACTTACTGTTTTTTTTGTTTTGTTTTGTTTTTAAATTGTGATTTGGGTGAAAGATTACAGAGCAAATTCACTTTCCATACAGCAGTTCACATACACTTTGTTTCATGACATTGACTACAATTTACCCCAATGCAACAGCTCCCCTCCCTCTTCCTCCCCATAGTTACCTCTTCCCTGTGTCCACCCCTCCCATGAACTCCTGCCCCCTGAGCTGTCTCCTTGTGCATAAACAGCCCTTCTTCCTCCCATGACTGTTCTCTCTAAGGAGTGTATTTACCTCAGGTAAATGCTCAACTCATATGTCTGTCTTTTGTTTGGTTGGAAGCCACAGATGTGGGTTCAATTCCAGACCTGAAGGGCAGCTAGGGGCCATAGTCTCAGTGGTTCCACCAGGCTCTATTGGACCAGCAAACCTGGTCCATCCCCCTTTTTTTTTTTTCCAAATGCTTTTGAGTTTTGTTCCACTTTGTTCTCCCTCTCTATCCAGGATCTCCTCCATAGATCCCCTTCCAGGTGGTTGACAGTGGTAGCCAGGCACCATCTAGTTCTTCTGGTCTCATAGTCGTATAGGCTGCAGATCAGATGGCGTACCAGTCGCTAGGACTAATGGTTTCCATGAATTTTTGGTTTTCTTCATTCTTCTTTGCTCTGGCTGAGGAGAGACCCATCACTGCATCTAGATGGCAGCTTGCAAGCTTTTAAGATCCCAGTTGCTACTCGCCAAAGTAGGAAGTGGAACAATGTTTTGTGTAGTATGGTATGCCAGTTGAGCTTGATATCCCCTGCAACTATGGTCCCAAGACCACAGGTTCAACTACTCGCTTCCTCTGGGTAGCTGGCTATGACCAAGAAGTGACTACAACCTTGTCCCTTATCAGCTCTACTATACACCTGGGAATTCTTACAGAACATACAAATACACTTATAGAACCATTGTCTGCCAACCATATACATAGTTTTGGGTATACTCCCCGCTGCATAGACATACCTAATAGTTCAGCCTGTCCACCCATCTATCCACCTGTATACCTGTGTTTGCCTTCACTGATGACGTAGTACTATATGTGCAAAAGGGTTCGTCTTTGTTGTCTGCACTTCCCATGTACCTCTCTATATCTTCCTCTTCCTCAGTGCCACCATGTCGATAACTCACATTTGGTACATTGCCCTTCTCTTCACCCATCAATACTTATCTCTACCTATCTAACAGTGTTCCCTCCCCTCTCCTGCCACCCCTGGTAACCAACAAAGAAAATTTCCTTCTATAGATAAACTTTCCTTGACTTTTACAATAATGGACTAATACAATATTTGTCCTTCTGTGATTGACTTATTTCACTCAGCATAATGTCCTCCAAGTTCATCCATGTTACGTAGTGTTTTGCAGATTCTAGTTTATTCTCAGTTATTTGCAGATTCTAAGTTATGCAAAGGCATTTGATTGTGTGGATCATGACAAATTATGGATAACATTGAGAAGAATGGGAATTCCCGAGCACTTGATTGTACTTATGAGGAACCTGTACCGTGACCAGGAGGCTGTCGTTCGAACGGAACAAGGGGACACTGCATGGTTTAAAATCAAGAAGGGGGTGCGTCAGGGTT